AAGAAAACTTTCTAATATGTCAGTTCAATTCAACAGACACTAAATATCTACTCTGTGCACAGTACTGTGTCAGGCACTGGAATACAAAGACTAAAATGAAAAATAGCCCTTCTCGGTGCAGCGAGGTGGCCCAGTGGATAGAGCACTGTCCCTGAAGTCAGGAGGACATGAGTTCAAATCCAGCCTCAGACCAAACACTTGACACTTACCAGCTATGTGACCCTGGGCAAGTCACTTAACCCCAATTGCCTAAAAAAAAAAGCCCTTTTCCTCAAGGAGCTTACATTCTGATGGGGGATACAATAGATGAGTATCCAAGTGTAGGAAGGAGAGAGAAGATGAACAAACAGGGGGCCAGATAAAACTCCGTATGTGTAGGAGCTTAAGCCAAGCCTGATGTTTAGCTAAGGGTGCCGTTCAGAGTTAAATGTGAAGAAGGACAGCATTGCAGTCATGGGAGTTAGCCAAAGCCAAAGCAGAGCTGGAAGATGGAATGTAGAGTTTAAGAATAACTAATAGGTCATTTTGGCTGAAATGTGGATTAAATCAGGGTACTATGAAATAAGATCAGAAAAGTGGGTAAGAGTCAGATTGTGGAGGGGTTTAAATGTCAGGCTGAAGAATTTGTAGTTTATTCTAGAGGCCATAGGGAACCACTGAAGTTTTTGAGCAGAAGAGTGACATAGTCAGAATTGTGCTATATATAAAATAAAATAATTTTTTTTTATTATTGGGAAGGTTATTTTAGCAGTTTTCTTGAAGGTGGATTGTAATCAGGGGTGTGTTGGTAAATGTTTAACAACCATCTCTTGGAAGGGGGGAGAGTGGAGCATGACATCCTTTTAAGTTTAATCATCATTAACATTTTCACCATCATTTTGTTAAGTCTAAACAATCAACAAAACAATAAATCAAACCCTGATTTGTAGTGTTCGCTGATTTCTGAGGTATAATTGCTCACATTGAAAATCTAACAGTTAGGCTCTTGAGAGACTGCTAAAGATGTCTCCATCAAACCCCTAAATAATGGAGGAGAGCCGGTAATCAGGATAGTATTGTATATGGCCACAGGTGACGAGGACCTGAGCTAGACTGGGAGCAATGTACGTGGAGAGAAGGGAACAGCTGTAAGAGACAACATGGAGATAGAACCAATAGGTCTTGGCAACTTTTTCAAAGTGGGAGGAGGATGAAGGATTTGAGAAAGGCGGAAGAATCAAGGTGGTGAACCTGGGTTACTTTATAAAAGCGGAAAGAGTTATTTTGGGCCTTCTATCGTGGGAGATCTTCAAGGGGAAGCTGAATGACAACTCATTGGGGATGTTGTAGAGATTTGGGTTCATGTGTGGATTAGACTAGATCACCTCTGAAGTGCCTTCTAACTCTGAGATTCTGTGAAGCACCACACATCAGGAAGTCGGTTCCCCATTATCACACCCTAACTCCACCTCTATCCCCTCAGCCCCCTCAGCTAAAACGACTAAACTGTCATGTTATCTTTTCTGTAAGAGACCAGAACCACTGTCTTGCCTCCTTTTCTGGCTTTGGAACATTTTTCTCAGTGGGTATTTATGAAATCAGCAGAAAACCTACATTCTTCCCTCCCCCCCAAAAATTACCAACTCATAGCTAATCCTCTGATGTCCTCTCTGAACTTGAATAGGCTTCTACCTGGATGAAGACATACAGTATATCTCTGAACCCTTCTAGCCTGGCAGCACCTGCCAAAGATTGAGCTCCAGTGGTATAACTTTTGGCCACCCAGGATCACTTCCATGCCAAGATGAAGCACTGGAGGGGAACTTCAGTGGAAGTTACATTGGGTTTCTAGTACCTCTGTCATCAAAGGAAATGAAGTTAAGCTGGCAACACTTGTTCTTGATCAGGCCTAGAGGCAGCTGGGTGGCACAGTGGACAGAGCCCTGGGCCTGGAGATATGGAAGCAGTTCAGCCTATGGACAGGAGCAAAGACTATAAAGTGAGTTCTCTTTCAAAATTGTAATTCGGGGGCAGCTTGGTGGCACTGTGGATAGAGCACCAGCCCCAGATTCAGGAGGATGTGAGTTCAAATTTGACCTCAGACACATAACACTTACTAGCTGTGTGACCCTGGACAAGTCACTTAACCCCAATTGCCTAAAAAACAAACAAACAAAGAACAAAAGACAGAATTGTAATTCAATGATTCTACTTTGGCTTCTAAGGAAATAATCTAAATTTCTGTTCAAATATTTTATTCTCAGAGGTTGAAAAAAAGCCTTAATTATTTTCTGGTGATTCCTACTCCGAATATATATATGTATGTATGTATGTATGTATGAGAAATGGATTAAATGGATTAAAGCTTAAGCAAGGGCTTGCTTTGTGCAATACTCCATCAGTCAAGGGGTATTTATTAAGCACCTACTATTTTCAAAGCATGACTATATTCATCTCTCAGCAACATCATTGACCTGTCTATTGCAAGTATAAATTCTCCTCAGGGGAATTATTATTAGCCTTCTTCTTCTCCCTGGCAGTATCTCTTTCCCCCTCTTTCTTACCATTCCACCCCACCTTACACAAGAGAAAGGGGTCAATCCTACAGAGAAAGGAAACCTGTTTTGAAAATGAAAGTCAAATGCTTCGTATTGGCAAGAAGAACCCTATTAAGGGGATGGTTTTTGAGCACTTAAGAAAGTGGTGATCATAGCTTAGTGTGGAAGGAAGGAAATGAGCATTTATTTAGTGCCTACTATGTGCCAGACACTATGCTAAGTGTTTTACAAATATCTCATTTATTCCTCTCAGTGCTAACATTATCCCCATTTTACAGTCAAGGAAATGGAGTTAGACAATGGTAAAGTGACTTGCCCAGGGTCACACAGGTACTAAGTGTTTTTAGGGGGATTTGAATTCAGGTCTTATTGACCCCAGGCCCAGGGCTCTATCGACTGTGCCACCTAGTCGTCTCTGGGTTGACCAAAGCAAACTTCCTTTCCTTTGATGAAGTGATCCTTATGGCCAAAGGTTATACCACTGGAGCTCAAGCTTTGGCAGGTGCTACCAGGCTAGAAGGACTCAATCCTTCATCCATGTAGAAGCCTATTCAAGTTCAGAGGGGACATCAGAGGATTAGCCATAAATTTATAATTTGGGTTTCTTTTTTTTTTTAGAGGAGGACAGGGATCGAGAGGATGGAGGAAGCTTCAGTAAAGTAGTAAATTATCTCTTCAGGTGTGGAGAGATTTGTCTGCATCTAGAAAGGAAACACTTGTGCTGAATAAATGATATTTCCTTGAAGTATAGAATCAAGCACCAAAGTGAGGGGAGGAAGCTAGATGGTACAGTGGGCTTGGAGTCAGGAAGACTCATTTTCCTGAGTTCAACTCTGGCCTCAGACACTTACTAGCTGTGTGACCCTGGGCAAGTCACTTACCCTTTTTTGCCTCAGTTCTTCTGTAAAATGGGTTGGAGAAGGAAATGGCAAACCACTCTAATGTCTTTGACAAGAAAACCCCAAATAAGTGCACAGACAGTCAGACACAACTGAAAGGACTGAACAACAACAAACCAAAGTAGGGAAGAGCTGCTTGTGGACGGCGACTGTAAAGAGTTAAAGGATATTTCACTGGCGGGCCTGGGAAAGGCATTAACCAGAAATCTCAGATCACACAAGCAAAGATAGAGGTGGATGTAATATTGGAAAGCGCAGTTTTGCCCTGAGATTGTGAATTCTATGGGTGCCCCTGAACTAGAATTCCACAAGGAAAGCCAGGAAGTTCTTGGGGATGTAATCTCAGGACATAAAACATGACCAAGCTTGGGGATGAGCAGACCTTGACTCTTGCTGCTGTGAATATTTTTTTCCACTGAGGACAGAGCAAGAGAAAACAGGTACATCCTATGACCCAAGGGTCTCAGATTTGACAAGAAATTCTTTTGTTTTCTGGGTCAAGAAGGCTACAGGAAAGCTCACAGCATGTTGAGTGGTTCTGTAGCTGAATTATGGAAGATCATGGGATAATGGAATTAGAATTAGAAGGAAACTCAGAGACCATCTAGTCTAACGTCCTCATTTTACAGATAAGGAAACATGGCCCCAAGAGATCAAGCGACTTGCCCAAGGCCATATAGACAGTTTAAGTATCAAAAGCAGGATTTGAAGTCATGCTGATTGGGCAGACACACAGACATGGATGGTTTGCTGACATCTGCATCACTGGTAGGAGTGGGGGAGATGATGATGAAGATGATGATGAAGAAGATGATGAAAGCTAGTGTTTATACAGTGCCTTAAGTTTTACAAAATAGTTGAGGCTGAGAGTTGCTGAGAGTTGTATAGATAGTAGGAATAAGCCAGGAATTGGGCTCAGGGCTTCCTGATGTCCTGGGCCCAACTCCTGGCTTATTGATTGATTGATTATTGATCTGTTCAGTAAGCCACCGAGCTGCCTCACATCTATAAGACATACTTAGAAATGGCCAAATATTAGAAAAGAAGTATCTAGGAATGAAATTTGCCTTCAGCTGTGTAGGTTTATTAGAGGTTTGTTATACATCAATTGTGGGTGTTTTTATGTTTAGTAATGGGAGCTATGGGGTCTCTTCCCCTAGGGAGGTTAAAAACAGAAGGAAATGTGTTGGCATGGCTTAGGAGTGGACCCTGTCTTAAGGGAGGGGGATACACAAGATGACATCTACCAAACCTTTCTCACTGTACATGTATTTTGTGATTGAAAAACAACATGAACATGTTACTGTCAGCTGAACGTGTTACTACTGTTTGGTATTCAAAGGTCCTCTTTTAACTTCAAAGGTGCTGAACTCATGGATCATTTGTTCATTCTCCATAACACTGGGGCTATTCTCTGGCCAGACCAAAACCAATGGCTCCTCCATAGGGATCTGAAGGAGGACCTTGGCAGGGGACATCTCACTCTGTGAAAGGGGGCCCGGGGAGCTTCTCTCATGCTCAGGGGGCACTCTGATGGGTGTCCCCTCCATCTTCCTTTCCTCACCTTGCTCAGTTTGCCGGGTAGGCTTTTTGTGCTCTTGCAGCTGCTGATCTTTTCTCCGTGGGTCCACCTTTGACTCAGCAGCTCACCCCGGAACTCATTTTCTGAGGGTTTAAGAAAATACAGGGTCAGGACATGAAAACACGTCAGAAGACTGCCGGCCATGCTGACTTAGTGGGGGATTTAGCTGTTCCTCCCGCCTATTCTTCAGCATAGGTGCCGAAGCAGGGCAGGCAGCAGTGATACCTGGACCAGGCTTCTAGGAAATGGAGAAGTCCATCCACTAGGTCAGAGGCTCCTGACCCACCAGGAATTCACCAACAGAGAGGGGGGCAAGTTCAGGAACTCTGTGGCTGGTCTGAGGCCTCATTGCCCCCTCACAAGACCCTCTCCAGCTCTGGAGCAGGGCAACAGGGACTCAACCCTGCCTTCAGTCAAGCCTTTCCAATTCGAGCTATAGGATCATAGATTGATACTGATACAGGGCAATATGAGTCACCCAGTCCAACCCACTCATTTAATAGATAAGGAAAGTGAGGCCCAGAGAGATTAAAGCAGAGCCATTATTTGAAGCCACATCTTCCAAATCCAGTTTATGTCTCCTCGGGACAAGAGTTCTAGGCCCCAGGACCACTGAATTTTGGTTCTGCTGTCTAACTAGGAGAATTCATTAGGGCAAGAGAGGAGTCCAATTTCTTCACATTTCTTTAGCTGGGGATATTTGTAACGTGCATTGTGGTTGAATGGAAATCACACTAGTCTTGGAGTCAGTAGATCAGGCTTACAGTCCTGGTTCTACTCACTAGCTGGATGACCTTCATCATCTCATTTTTACCACTTTGCATGTCAATTTTCTAATCTGTAAAATTAAGTGGAAGGATAATATGGCCTCTACAGGTCCTTATGGCACTAACAATCTATGATCTCAAGATTTAAAAATTAGGTCAGGAAAGGAGTATGTGAGGAGCCAGAAAGAATGATGCATATCAACAATAGCAAAAAAGGCAAATAGACCTCAAAAAACAAAAAGAGGGTCATACTCCTAGGACCCTAGGAGGTTTGTATGAAAACCAAGGTGGACTCACTTTAAAACAACCCAATTTATGAAAACTCATATCTACCAAAGGAAGAAATTAGGAGGCTGTTTTTCATATTACAGATAGATTCTTCGCTTCAAAAGGAAAAAAAAATCTGAGCCATTCTTTTAAATAGGAGACTGTTGCATTTAAAAAAATATTAGCCTATCTACAAAATCTAGTAAACCTATAACTTTTCTGGGAACACATTTATCTAGAAAAGTGAGGTCTCGTTATAATCCTCTTAATGGTTGGGCAGGCCATTGCCTCCCTACAACAGAGGGTTCTGAACATCTCCACCATCCACTTTAGAACCTTTTCTCTTTCCCTTAATTCTGTATTTCTGATTCTCTTCAGGTTAAGGCATCTGGTTAATATTTAATTCTTCACATAAATTCACACGTCTGAACAGAGGACAAGCCCATCGGGCCGGACATGACAAAGAAACACATTGTGTACCTACTCTCTGAACGTCAATCCATGTTTCCATGACAACTGGCTTGCTTCGGCAGCTTTGAAAAGGAGGTCATTAAGGAACCCACAATAAAAACAGGAAATGAATATTCCTGCATTTTGAGCTTTCCTCTTCACCTGCTTTCCTCACCACAGCAAACCACAGGGTTTGGTACCTGGGAAATTAACTAACTTACCTAGTCAAGTGCAGCGCTGCTCTGCCTATTTATGTCTTCAGCAGTTTTTATCTCTATCACCATTAACTTGATCTGCCCACTAGCCCACTATATCCATGCCCCAAGTCCCCAGAGAACTCACAGTGGGACTCATAGAACAATCATCATTTGGGATGCATGGAAATGTACTTAATTGCATTAAGGATGCCTCGTTCTTAATTAAGGAAGTACAAAAATGATGAAATGTCAGACTTAGTTGGCCGGAAGATTAAAGAGCAGTGTTGCAAGATCATTAAATTTAAATGTCAAGAGAAGCAGGGGAAGTGTAGTCTTGGCTCGGCGGTAGATGACTAAGGCATAAAGTGCATCAGGACAGTTAAGTGGCACAGTGAATAAAGTGCCAGGCTTAGGACAGGAAGACCTGAGTTCAAATTTGGCCTCAGACGCTTAATAGTTGTGTGACCCTGGGCAAGTCACTTAATCCTGTTGGCCTCAGTTTCCTCAACTGTAAAATGAACTGGAGAAGGAAATGGCAAACCACTTCAGTATCTTTGCCCAGAAAACCCCAAATAGGGTCACAAAGAGTTGGATGCAACTGAAACAACTGAATGCCGACGATGACAACAACAACGAGGTACATATACGGTCATCCTTCTTCTTTTCTTACTCTTCACCCTCATCTCTGCTATGTACTAAAAGTAACCTTAGTACAAGCTTTCAGGCCTCATATGTTAAGTCAAAGAAGACATGTGACTTTGGCTGTGGCTCTCAGGGACCTCAGTGGGGACATCAGGCCCTGAGGCTTGAGAGAAAAGAGGTAGTAAAAAGTGTTCTAGTTGAAATTATCTTATACACTGCAGCTGAGAGTAGCTTCTGTCTGCATTAGGGTTTGGGAGGAATGTATTAAGAGGCAAACAACATCAGGCTGGGTTCTAGAGATTAATAGCCCCGAGTGTAGCAAACAAGCCATTTTCATAGTTGTTTTCCATGAGAGTTAGCCATGAGAGCCACAAAAAGAATCCTAGAGAATTGAGGATCTTGTTTCCAGGGAGTGCAGAGGACTAGAAGAATTTATCAGTGATCCAGAGAATGGATTATGATTACATTTATGTTAGTAGCAAGCAACAGCTACATATACAAAAAGTAGAGGTTATTCTCCCTACTAAAGGAGTATGTGAATGGCTAAAGGAACACTTCTATAATTATGCTGCCACCACCACCATCATCACTGACATTTATGTAGGAAGGAAACAAGCATTCATCCAGTATATACTATGTGCCAGATACGGTGCTAAGCTCTTCACAAATATCTCATTTTATCCTCACAACAACCCTGGGATGTGGGTGGAATTATTATCCCCATTTTATAGATGAGGAAACTGAAGCAGACAAGAGGTGAAGAGACTTGCCCAGGGTCACATAGCTAGGAAGTATCTGAGGCCAGACTCGAATTCAGATTCCAGGCTGTGATTCCAGGCCCAGTACTCTACCCACTCATGTAATGTCTCATGTAATGCTTTAAAGTTTGCAAAGAGATTTGTTCTCACTTAATCCTCACAATACCCTGTTAGACATGTATCATAGGCATTATTATCTCCTCTTTACAGATGAAGAAGTTCAGTTATTGAGAAAAATAAAAGACTGGTAGAGTCTGAATGCAGATTGAAGCATACTATTTTTCACTTTCTTGATTTTTCTTGTTTTGTTTTTGTTGTTTTTAGTCTGTTTTCTTTCTCAGCATGACTAATATGGAAATATGTTTTGCATGACTGCACATGTATAACCTATATCAAATTGCTTGCCTTCTCAGTGAGAGTGGAGGAAGATGATTTGGAACTTAATTTTTTAAAAAAATGAATGTTAAAATTGTTTTTACATGTAATTGGAAAAAATGAGATTTTAAAAAGAAAGACTGGAACAAAAGAAATGAGAGGATTAAATCCCAGGGAACCAGAGCTCTAGAACTGGAAGGGCCCTTAGAGAGTATCTAGTCCAAATCTCTCATTGTACAGCTGACAAAACTGAGGTCCGAAGAAGTTAAATGACTTGTCCAAGGTAATATAGGCAGTAAGTGACAGAGGCTGGTTTGAAACCCAGGTCCTTTCAATCCAAAAGTAATCTAGAAGAAACAAAGGGGAATCCTAACTGAAGGACTGAATATGAAAGAGGTTTGAGAGTTAGACTTTTTGGGAAGGAAGATGACTCTTGTACTCCAAGGGGTAAATATTGTGGATCTATAGTTGCCTTAGGGCAAAGAATTTGGTAATGGTCAGAGGAATAAATGGGTGCAGCTGAGGGTGGCTGAGGCAGCTATTTGTCTATCTCAGCAATATTGTAAAAGTTAGTTGTCTTCCTAGGGCATGTATCTGGGACATGACAGAGATTCCCTAGATTTTTCAAACCTGATAACCCATACCTACTTCTTCATTCATGATAAAAAAAAACCAGGTAGCTCTCTGCTCACTCTATCTTATTGCCACACAAAATATAAAGGATCTCAACAAGGAAGAAAAGGGATGTCTAAAGGTACTGATGTGGATTCACATGGAATTCATCAACTACAAATGTTTTAAATATCCCTGTTGAAGACGGAATCAAGGCCAGGTGAAGAGGATGCATAAAAAGAATGGGAGAGCCCATTAAGAATAGTGTTGGGAACACGAAAGAGAAGAATAAGTTTTGGCTAGCAATGAATGCTAAAAGAATAAAAAAGGACTTTAAAAAATCCCTATGTTGGGAAAAGAGGAAAATCAAGACAGGGATAAGACCACTGCTCCAATAAATTGTTGGTAAAGGACAAGTTAAAAAAAAAAGGTAGAACTACTAAAACCTATCTTAAATTGAAATTCAATATATGAGAGAAGGTAATACAGTCCTTAACTGCCCTCAGTGAATGGAGGTCACAGTATTATAGAATCACAAAATTTTGTCAAGGATGTCATAGAGGGATCCCTGTTCAGATACAGGTTGGAATTAATGATTAGCTCCCTTCAATACAGAAATTGCATAATTAGCAACACTAAGTGGCATTTCTGAAACACCTGTCTAAATGAACAACAAATGGGTCATAGAAGTGGAAAATGATGAAGCTAGGCAATGCAGTGGATAGAGCATTGAGCCTAGAGTAGGGAAGACCTGAGTTCAAATCTAGCCTTGACCACAAGCTGTATGAGCCTGGGTAAGTCATTTAACCTCTGTCTGCCTCAGTTTCCTCAACTATAAAATGAAGCCAATAATAAGACCTGCCTCCTGGGGTTGTTGTGAGGATCAAATGAGATAATATTTGTAAAGCTCTTAATATAGTGCTTAACACAAAGTAGGCACTATATAAATGCTATTATTAAGATGACCTTCTGGGTACTTACATTCTCAAATCAACAACATGGGCACAGACAAACT